TGGTGACTGAGCTCAGGAGAAAAAAAGGAGTGAGAACAATATGAATATTTGTTCCTGTTACTCTGGTGTGAACCTCCAGTACGTAGTGCGCTTTAGATTTGATACTAACCTGATGGGAAGAGGACAGAAGGAGAAGAACAAGACAGGTTTCAAATCCAAACACACTGAGGGAGAGGAAAGAGAAGGAGAGAGGCAGGACAAAGGGAGGAATGGGACTGGGGGAGCAGAGGTGGAAGAGAGAGGAAGTCTGTGGCAATCTACCTTGATTTCTCTAGGGCCCCCCCCCACACACACACACACACGGGCTGCATACACATGCTCCCTGCGCCCGTCCAACACATTTTTCTTGTCCCAACTGGGGAGGTGTGAAGAAAATCTCTTCCTTCCTTGCAACCTCCACACACACACACACAACACACACACACACACACACACACACACACACGCACACACACACACACACGCACAGAGTTCTGTTAAGATGGACTCTGATAAGATGTAAAGCGAGGGAGCCTGCTGGCTTACTCCAAGCAGAACAAAGCAGGAGGATTGGTGTGTGTGTGTGTGTGTGTGTGTGTGTGTGTGTGTGTGTGTGTGTGTGTGTGTGTGTGTGTGTGTGTGTGTGTGTGTGTGTGTGTGTGTGTGTGTGTGTGTGTGTGTGCGCAGAAAGGGGTGCAGCAGTGCATTGCCTATGCTTTAGAAACTTCTTTTGGGACCCTTCTTTCTTTTCAAGCTGCCACCTCAGTAGGCTACAACCTCCTCCCCCCAAACACACGCACACACACACACACACACACACACACACGCACGCACGCGCACACACACACACACAGAGGCTGAAGGAGCGTCTCCCCCCCTCGTACTTCGATTGTTAATCCCATTGACATACTCAGATGTAGTTTTTTGGTCTCTTCCTTTGTGTTGTGTTGCACCGATGTACTGACACACACACACACACACACACACACACACACACACACACACACACACACACACACACACACACACACACACACACACACACACACACACACACACACCACACACACACACACACACACACACACACACACACACACACACACACACACACACACACACACACACACACACACACACACACACACACACACACACAACACAGTGCCAGGTGCAGTGATGTCATCTGTCTTCACTTAACAACATGTAATAGCAGTTGGTATGTTTAGCTGAAATATTTTGCGTATTTTCTATTTATTATATCTATTTAACAACCAATAGACCAATTGGTTAGAATAACAATTAGATGTAGTAATTACTTTTGTTTTGATAAGTCACGAACAGGAAGTTAAAAGGCCAGTTGTTTAAATGAAAAACCTTTCTCAGACCAACTCCAACACTTGTATGATTGACCTGTCTGCTGAAGTAATGCCTTTTCATCCAGACATTCATATACACCATTTAGTATTACATGAATGTTTTGTGTGTCTTTTTTCATAGTTGGGTTGAAGTACATTTATGAAGAAAGAAGACAAAGTTACATTTTTAAAACCACTATTTGACACATTTGCTTACATGTTGTAAGAGCTTGGTAGGGTTTTGGTCAATGCTGTTGGCTTGGCATGTGGGTTTCATTTATCTCTCTATGCTTTCATTTGTTATATATTAAAGTGGCAGATAGGGCTGTACCCGAATATTTGTTCGTTGGAGTACTATTCGGGTTTCAATTTCGTTATTCGGATATCGTTTTTTTTATCGCACTGCGGCTGCCAAATTGAATTGATTGAAATCTCCAATATCAACGTAAGAGCTTGTGCCTCTTCGGGGGGTGCTAACACTTAACCATAAACGTTATCGTTTACTTTCTCCGTCTTTATATGTAGATATGACTTTTTCTCCGTTAATCTCCGTCACGTTGTTTCCATAGCAACAACAACTTCCTGTCAACAGCGCTAACTCTCCTTCAAAATAAAAGCATGTCCACACAAAATAGGAAGCCAAGCCAAATTACACTTAAGACATATATGACATACAACTGCAACGAAAGTAACAAACACAATGCAATATCCTTTTCAATTTCAGAGAACACAAATTGGGTTATTTACAAATAACTATAAAACAACATTACTGTAGAATAACAAAATGAATGCTGTGAATAAACCGAAATACACGCGTTGAAGCGGTTCGCTGCTGATTACTACCGTGTGTGTGTGTGTGTGTTGCCGCGCCACTACCGAATATCCGGAGCCCGAAAAATGGTATTTGGGACAGCCCTAGTGGCAGAACTGGTACCAGACTTGAGCCGTGTTTGAAGGGGTTTTTCTCATACAGAAAATCAACGTAAAGGCAAACATGTCAAATTGCCTGCACATTTATGTTGGGAAGTCATGTCCTAAAGTTCTGGTATAATCCTTTTCTTGTGGAACAAACATGTGTATGTATTCCATGAGTTAGGGCTGCTCGATTATGGCAAAAATCATAATCTCGATTATTTGGGTCAATAATTGATATCACGATTATTACATGACATGTCAGACGCTTTTATCCAAAGCGACTAACATTCAGTACTGTGGGCAATCCCCACAGGAGCAGTTTGGGGTGAAGTGTCTCAGGGACACAACGACTGCAGTGGGGTTTGAACCTGTGACCACCTGATCCGAAAACCAACACACAACCCACTGCACCACACGCCTCCTATTAAAAACGGCTATCAATTTATTGGAGAAAAAAAATGTGAACAGTGTGTTTTTAACAGTTGATTACCCTGAACTTTAAGTATAATTCAACTGAAAAACCAATAAAAAACAAATGTATTTGAAAATAAAAATAAAAATAATCGTTTTATTTCGATTACGTTGTTTTCGTAATCGTTGCAAGCCATAATCGTAATTGTGATTAAAATACGAGGAATTGAGCAGCCCTACCCTGAGTGCAATGTTTGGATCCAGCATGCAGTGGGGCTCTTCCTCTCTGTCACCAGGAAACCCAGCTGGCCCGAGGAGGTTAGCCAGCAGCACTAATCCACAGTGGAGCGTCTCTGTTAGGCCAGAGGTGACCTCAAGGGCCCCCCAATGTGTGCTCTGCCCCTCTCTCTGATATCCTGACATTTATTTTTGATATGTGTCAGTTCCTATGGACTTTTGATCTGTTCATAGATCAGCCTTTTCATTCGTTTTTTATAGCTGCATGATTGTGAAGTCACATTGCTGCGATCATGTTAGCTTCATAGATGGAACTTACCTCTATAGTGCCTGTGTTCAATGAATGTTTTCTTGTACGAACAAAACCAAAACATACAGCACAGTAAGACCTATACAAACTGCTTATTGAAATGTGTAAGTCAACTATTTGAAACCAAGTAGTTTAAAAATTAGACATTTTCTTTCTGTCGACTAGTTGATCATATGTGTTCCAGTAGTGAGGAACTCTACTGGAGGGATGAACAGTATGTCAATACATTCAAATAAAGAAATGACATTTGAATTTGAATTCAATGAGGTAGAGTGTGAGTACAACATAAACAAATAGTTTAGGGTCATATAAAGAGTATAGGAGAGTGGAATCTGGTTCTAAAAAGAAACTGGAGGGTTATAGCTGTTGGCAGGACATCTCGTCTGCATCGGTCCCTGTAACAGCAGAGCTGAATCAGTGTTAGAAAAGTAGCTCTGCTGTTTGTCCCGTAGCTGGTGGTAGTCCGGATTATCCATCATATCTATCCGTTCATTCCATTTTTCTCCTCTCCACAACAACTCCAAAAGTGTCCGCTTTGCAGCCTTTGACCAGCCTAGTCAACTCCACAAAATCCTCCTCCTCCCGTTCATCACATATACACTGCACAATCCCTTTTTTATTGTCCAATCAATGATTCATGAATTCAATGTTATGTTTGAATGACCTGGTGTTGTTTTAGGACAGCATCACACAGACAGAGGCCGTGTGTCTTAATGCTGGGATTACAGTAGACATGTTGTGCCAAACCACAGCGCAGCAGCTCTGCCACCCTGCCAGGCCAAAACCACAAGCCTCCCCAGAGGCTCTGCTCTGTGTGACAGCTACACACACACACGCACACACACACGCACAGTAATCTGCGCTCTGACATATACATACTCTGCAGGCGTTCTGTTCGGGTTCACATTCTTGCTTTCGTACCATGTTGATTAGTGAACTTTAACATTTCCTATACGTGTCGTCCAACTTTTTTGGGGAAAGTTTATGAAGCATTCTAGGACAGAAATATTATTGTAAAACTTGTTTGTGCATACAAAATGTATTTTTCTCTTTTCGCTGCTGATTGTTGCCAGATGGCAAACATGTTAGAGGTTTTATGTTTTTGAGCTTTGTTCTTGGGATGTACTGTCCAACTTTTACTGTTCTTTTACTGTTGCTACAACACGAACAGCTTTAGGGTCAGCAGGTCATGCTGTGTTGTCTAAAGGGGCTTCAGGGGAAATGGAAATGCTGGTTCCCTTCACTGTGGCTGATGCATACATAGTTTTCTTCTAATACTACAGTGTTGTTTTGTACACTGCCATGTTTGTTTGTGAGATGCAGCCTTAGTAATGTAACAGACATGATAGGCTTTTAAGCTGTCTCACCATATATTCAAAAACAAGCTGAGATAAAGATAACAACAGTAACACAGTCCAATACTCCAAACAAATCATTCATTTGCCCCTGAGGTAAATAAAGGAAACACATTAAACACAAGACAAATAATCCATTTCCTTCATAGCTTTAATAAAGCCATCCTCATAAGATTAAAGTTAGGAATGTCATCGTTGTTCAGAAACTGTAAAGAGTGCGGTGAAAACCTCTTTAAATAGCTCATCTTTTATCAAGCAGGGTAAAAGTGTCCTTCCTTTCAGCCACTGGGGAAATTCCAAAGTTTTCCATGAACGGGCCATACACAAACATTCAAAAGCCCTCTAGATGAGAATTTGAAACGCATACTTTGGGGTTAAGGAAACGTTTATATATATGAGTGTGTTACTTGATCCTCTTTTTAATCTCTTTTTCAGGCTCACCTCTCCTCCTGTTTGCCAACCGGCGTGACGTGCGATTGGTCGATGCGGAGGGCGTGCGGGGTGAGTCGGCCATCGTTGTTAGTGACCTCGAGGATGCAGCAGCGGTGGACTTCCTGTATTCCGAGGGCCTGATATTTTGGACAGATGTCAGTGAAGAGGCCATCAAACAGACGCACTGGAATCAGTCATCGAACTGTAAGACTACATCCTGCGTGTTGTGTTGATTCTGCTGCTTAATGAAGATTTACTCACAAAGGCCAGCCCTTCCTGTTACATTCTCACTCTGTGTGTGTTTTGTGTTGCAGCCCTCAAAGAGGCTCTGGGAACTGGGCAGACTGTGGTGGTGTCGGGGCTGGACAGTCCTGATGGGCTGGCCTGCGACTGGTTGGGTAGAAAGCTCTATTGGACAGACTCGGAGACCAATCGTATCGAAGTGGCCAACCTGGACGGCACCTCAAGGAAGGTCCTGTTCTGGATGGACTTGGACCAGCCCAGGGCAATCGCTCTGAACCCCGCTCAACGGTAACACCTTTGACATAAAGATAAAGACAAAGGACCTGTTAAGCCCGAGAGACCCCGGTACCGGGGCCTTCCCGCAACATCTTGCAGGAAACAGTGTCTGAGGGCATGTTCATTTAATAAACTATGAATGTTTTATATCCATGTAACGAGAAGAAACTCATCTAACTGATCATTTTTATTTTTGAGCTAACGCTGAGCCTCTGAATTAGCAACGGGCGAAAAATGCTAGCAGATGACTGCACCGAAACTAGTGTTGCACGGTGTACCGATACTTGAAAGGTACCGCGATACCCTGCTGTTTAAAACATTACGATTCCTCCGTTTCATTAGTATCGGTACTTTAAGAATGACGGGGAAAAGTACTCCGGTGAGAAAGCGCTGTTTTAATCCCTCCCCTCTCAAGCACGCTCTAAGTGCCTCCCCTCTCGTGCACGTGCTAGCTGCCAGAGCATGTGAGAAAACGAGAAGCATGGCTGCAAGTGGGAGTGCAACTGCCGCTGCGCCTCGGCTTGTTGACAAAAAAGACGCCAGAAGCGAAATTAGGAAGTATTTTAGCAATATCTCTGACAGTGAGGGCAAGCCTACGGACACCACGAGGCCTGTCTGTGAGACATGTTTTAGATCCCTGCAAACCAAGGGAGCCAACACATCAGACTTGGCTAAGCACCCGCCGACCGGCATCCAGAGCTGTTTAAAGAATTTAAAGACAGACAGGTTAGCGAATGTGATAGATAACATAATTACATCATGCTCAAGCCCATGCCCTCAAATCTAAGTCAAACAAGTGTAATTTATGTTGTGACAAACGAACGTTTTAGTAGTTTGACGAGGCAATTAATGGCAATGATAACTGTCTAATACGGCTATCTTTTTAGCTAACTTACCAATGTGGCTAACATCTGCAATGTACATTTGGTCAATAATTATTTATATTATATTACTGTACTATTACATGTTAATAAAATATAAAGTTAACTATCAAAGAAATCACATAAACTCAAGTATAAAGAAGAGACCATGTTGTAAGAAAACACTTAACAGATAAACTACAATTTTATTGATCACGAAAATAATAAAATAAAAGTATTGAAAAAGAATCGGAATCGCAATTCTTGACTTGGTATCGGTATCGAAACCAAAACGTTGGTATCGTGACAACACTAACCGAAACTCACTCATAAAACCTTATTATTTATCCATTCTGCCCATCCAACCCATCGATCTGATCGTGAGATGACACAGAATCGATGGGTACATACATTATCACTCAATGATACAAACTCGCGACTTTATAAACAAAAACAGACATCAAAACATGTGGCGCTAGGTAGCTAGAAACGCTAACATGGCTCACCTGTGTCGTAGCCTGGTCAAAAGTGGTCTTCAATGGCATTAAAACGATAAAAACGCTGCTGAAGTTAATCCATAGGTTAATCCAATGTGTCTGTGTCCCTTTGAAATGATTTCTGATAATCCATAAGCAATAAACCCTGCTTTTCCGTTTCCAGATGTCAGACCTAGAGACAGCTTCACTCTGGTGCAAAACTGGATGCGCAAAGCCCCCACCTTTTTGTTTTACCGTGTGTGTGTGGGAAAATCCCCCTTCGATTCTATTGGCTCTGACGGTCAGAAAGAGATGTCAATCAGCAAAATCGACAAAGGGGGGCCATAGATATGGAAAATCCACCCAAATGACCCCAGAAGTGGGGTTTTTTGCTAAATCTCTCTAAAAAGGTCAAATGTCACTTGTTTTGCATCAATCTTGATACAGGGTACTTATTATATGTTGTACTTTGGATTACTAAGGCTTTTAGTCTACTAACCCATCATCCAAAGTTAGTTTTCACTGTAAGTAAAAAAGAATTTTTGGACGGACACTATAATTTACAGTTTTTAACTATGTTCAATCTGAATTTTCTTTAAAATAAAAAACATCTATATTGATTCTGACTTTTCTACATCCAATTCACAGGTTTATCATTACTTTGAGAAAAAAGATTATTAATTTACCACTTTTAGAAGGGAAGATATGGTCATTTGTTCTGGGAATGTCATTTTCGAGCCTGAGACCTGAAAAACAGGTTAATGAGGTGTCTTTAGAAGTGTCCCTTAGATTGTTTATTAAAGGAAAAGTCACTTTCTTTAGCACCTCTTGTATGTTTTTAAGAGACTAACAGAGAAAACATCTTCCAAGTCTTTAAATGAAAGTCTTAAAATATATTAGCAGCACAGTTTAAACAATGTCCCAGGCAGCGTGGCACACCTGAGCTGGAGTACCAGGGTGCAATAAGAGTAACCCCCTGATCCCACCGGAAGCGTCTGCGCTGCGGCTGCGCCGCGCTGCGACCTCCTCCTGCATCCTAACCCACCAGGCGCGTTTCAAAACGTTGCGGAAGCGGAGCGTTGTGTGTGCAGCCTCGCAGTTGTTGGATGAACATTCCACTTCCTGCCTGCGCCGCGTCAAAAATAGGATTCATCCTATATTTTAGAAATTCCTTGCGGTGAGGAGCTTCTGGGACGCTTCGAGCCGTGGCGCAGCGCGGCGCAGCGTGTCTGGTGGAATAGCACCCATTGACTAGAGTGGCCGCGATCGCTAAAAACGCCGCAGCCGCAGCGCAACGCAGCGCAGCGCAACGCAACGCAGCGCAGCGCAATGCAGCGCAGACGCTCCTGGTGGGATTAGGGGGTAAGATATGAGTATGATCAAAGCCGATGGTTGAAGAGAAGGCCTGCTCTGCACCCTGTCCTGTCTCCATGGTTTCACCTCACACTGACCTCCCTCTTCTCTTACACACTACTTGATGGCTCAGCAAAGCCTGCTCCTCAGACGGTAGATCTACTGTTGTGGGTTTATTGAGTCCTGTTGGAATACAGTACAGCAGAGTGACTTATGATTGTGTTTTAACAAATGTGTGTGTTGGTTTGGGGTACAGTAGTCTCCAACCACGATTCTGAACTGAAACCAGAGGTTCAATGAGTCCACAGACCTAAGTTCAGGCTACATGTACTGCAAACTTTCCTTCGACTACATTAAACACTGTCTTTTTCCTGTATTACTCAAGCTTTATGTATCCATCATACTGTAAACAGACTGAATACCATGTCAGCTCCGGTAACATTTGGACTCCATAGCTTACATGTCTATAGATTACGATAACCACTGGGTGTGTCTGTGTTTGGAGTTGTTGACATATCTGTTGGTCATACTGTAACTGAACCTCAGTGGGTGCAGGGAGAAAGGAGAACAAATAAAGTTACTTTCAGAGCCCTGACAAATTTGGATATGACTTTTGGTAAGCTTGAGAATAGCATACAATTAGTTTAACAAGCTTGTATCAAGGCCCTGACACACCAAGCAGTCACCAGAGGACTCGCCGACGCCGGCTGTTGCGTCGCGTGTTCTCCTGCGTCTTGGCCATGTGTCGCACGGGAACACACCGCAAAGACTTCAGTGCGTGAGTGGCAATAACTCTCCTTACCAGCAGGCGGCGGTAGTGTGTATTTGTCATTCAAAATAGGCAACAACCGGAAGACAGAGAAGAAGAACAGACTGCGTGATATAAACAAACAACAAATAGCGTGTGCGTTCCATTTTCCCTCTCGTCCATCTAAAACATGTTTCGTGCGGCGCTGGAGCTATCAGCCATTGCCGTGTTACTTGTGGAAGACATTCTCAAGCAACAGTCTCTCAAGAAGCGGAAGAGCAGGTCTTCGTTTCCGTCATTCCAGAACGCCATGATGAGATGAAAATGAATATCAGTCTGTGTGTGCCTTCTTAAATCGTTTGTTTACGTCCCTCACTTCCGTTTCGCTTCTCATGCACTGATTCGCTAGCTGAACAGCCAATCAGAGTGATTGTTTGGTCAGGCAGTCCAAATAAGGCGTGTCACAGCCGCCGGTGCGGGACACACCAAATTGAGTTTGGGCGACAGGACACGCTTCGTCTTCCGACTTACGAAAACGGCCTGGTGTGTCAGGGCCTTTAGATGTATAAAATAGGTCAGTGGTATATGGAATTAAATCATCGGCTTAAAGATGAACATGACAAGGAACAGTGGCAACAATGATATTATACAGTGAAGCCAGGTCAAAAACATGCATCTTCTGATATAAGTCAAAATTATTATTTTGTTTAGGTCTTTTACTTATGAAATGCATTATAACCCATTTCTTAAAATGCATTATTATACTCATTGTAGATGTTAACATATTTAAACAGATAAATGTTACCCAAACAAGGCTTGGAAATTAAACATTTGTCAAATTGAATAAATGAGTGAGAAGAAAATGACATGACATTTAACAGAAACAGAAATGGAGAGTAAAACAATAACATTTGACATGGAAACCATGAAAAAAGAAAAGAAAACCGGGGGCAAAATGCAACATCTTGCAAGAAACAGTGTCTGAGGGCTTCTTAACATTGAACAAACTATGAATGTGTCATACTTAACGGGAAGAAACTCAGCTATCAGACACACAAGGGTAATATCAAGCCTCTGAATCAGCCCTCACCGCAGCTAAGGCAAACCCAGACAACACACAACTTAGCTTTACGGAGCCAAAAACGGCAAAAACGTTTGCTGTGTTTCTGATCAAAAGTTGTGTTCAAGGGCATTAAAACGCTGCTGAAGGTTAATCCAATGTGTCTGTGTCACTTTGAAATGATTACTGATAATCCATCATAAGATTTAGGTCAAAAACGGAGATTTCTTATCAAGCTGCTATTAGAGCTACAACCCAGCTTCCGGTTTTGGGCATTCTGGCTGTGCGTCACTCATTCACCTGGGGCGGTGGTGGCGAAGTCGATAGGGATTTGGCTTGGCAACTGGAAGGTCACCAGTTCAAGTCCCGGCAAGACCAAGTGCTACCGAGGTGTCCCTGAGCAAGGCACCGTTCCCCACACTGGGTGTTCACACTAGGATGGGTCAAATGCAGAGAAACAATTTCCCCACGAGGGATTAATAAAAGTCCATCTCTCTAATGTTTAGATGGATTTGAGGAACTTCCCCTCTATTCTATTGGTTCAAAACAGGTGTCAATCATCAAAATCAACACACACACGCCTCGTTGGAGATTTTTCTTTTTCCATTTTTTTCTTCCTGGTATCTTCCTGGTCATAGTGACGTAACGCTGCGGAGCTCCGCACACACACTCACTCACTCAGCCTTATCACACAAACACACGCTCGGAGCTCAGGCTGAGTTCCGCGCTGTCTCACAGGCCCCACGCAGCAACCAGGAAACGACACCAGTAATCCAGCTCACACTGTCCGCTCCTCGAGCCCCACTGGGCGGAGCAGCGAGCCCCACAACGTCCCGCCAACACGACACCCAGACCCCACGCAGCATTCTCATCTGTTTGTCATTACTGGTGTCATTTTCTGGTTGCAAATGCCATTGTAACACATAAACACTGATGTTCAGCTGTAACGGTGGTGGACTCATCAGAACAGAGTGGGCGAGCTAACAAATCAGAGCACAGTGGGCTCATAGGGAGGGGGGGCGGGGCAGGAGCAGGAGCTCCAACAAGGTGTGTAGGACAGAGAGTGAATACACATACTTTACAGAGATGCTGTATGAGAAACCAATGTCATTTTGGAACATTGAACAATGTAAATCTATTCTAGTAGACCTCAACAATGGAATTATGATCAGTAGAAATGGCCATGTCATGGGACCTTTAAACTATTTCCTCTCTGTTTCCCTACAGGTACATGTATTGGACAGACTGGGGAGAGGAGCCGAGGATAGAGCGAGCCGGAATGGACGGCAGCAACAGGTACTGAACCTTTTAAAGCCCTGAACCAAGCCAACTGAACACAGTTATACGTTTAAAGTAGAGTATCCCCAGTGCAGCCAGAATTATAGAAGCAGTAACAATTCTACAAGAACATCACAAAATGAAAGCAGCAATGGAATGACCTTTTTATGTCCTCTGTCTCCAACAGGAAAGTGATTGTGGTGACGGAGATATACTGGCCCAACGGTCTGACCATAGATCTGGTGGAACAGAAGCTGTACTGGGCAGACGCCAAACTCAGCTTCATTCACAGAGCCAACTTGGATGGATCTGCACGGTAAGGCCCTGCGCGTGTGTGCGTGTGTGTGTGTGTGTGTGGCAGAGTCCTGCACGGGTCTGATTTTCAAGACCCACTCCCGTGACGTGCAATACCGAACCCGTCACCCGCACATATTGCCAATTAGTTCCGCAAACCGACCCGTCGGCACAAAATCCGCAAACCGACCCGAACCCGCATATCATGATCAGTGAAAACATGCAATTATGAACACACGCAGTTGCGTATTTGGTTCAAAAAGCGTGGGATGTTGGTTATTTCCTCCATCTAGGATGACACCAAAAGCCTCCCAGACGTTGGATTTCGCTCTTGAGGAAGCGCTCAGCAGCAGATTGATGCGCTGCAGAGGTTATGATTATGTGCGGTCCCGAGGGGGAGAGGTCTGAGGATTTAAACATTAAACTAAATTATTATTATTTTAATATATTTATTATGCAACACCCGCGACCCGACCCGCATCTTCTTTGTTTTACCCAGAACCGAACCCGGATTTTTTTTCACTCTTTTTGCGGGTCACCCGTCGGGTACCCGACCCGATGCAGGACTCTGGTGGGAGGGTGAATATAGTTGCAAAATGACTTCAGTTCAAGTACCACAATGGACTGCGTACAGAGAGTGGACTGGTACCTTGAGAGGAGACCATTTTTACCCAGGGGCCTGCCGAGGTGTTGTAATCCTAATGTAAATGATTTTTCCTTAGTATGATTATAATGAATTTCCTCCAATATTTTAAAGTTAAGGTTACCTAAACTTATTTTAGGGTCTGGCTGGCTTTAGCTCAGGAGGTATATGGTTGCCTCAAATTGAAGGGTCGGTGGTTCGATCCCCAGCATCCTAGTGCAATATGCAGGAAAAAATGTATTTGTAGACGAACAATGACTTGTATCTACATAGCGCCTACAAACAAATAATGAAATAAAAAATGGGGGAAAATAGTCGGAAGCGGGGTTTTTTTTTTGTATACGTCGCTGGGAGGAGGCTCTGTCCACTGCCCTGCCAAAGAGGAACTATGTTTTCCATAAACATGAATGATGTCATCCAATACTGTTAGAGCATGTAACAGTTAAGGTGTCATTGTCACTGCTGTACTGTTGTCCAGAGGAAAACACAGACATTTCAGAAGAGGAGCTGTGTTGATGACATTTACTTTAACTTTGGATTGCTTTGTTTCCGGCCTCTCTGGGTCAGGTTTTGCTGCAACTAACTTGCTCTCTATTAATAGCTACTATTAATGGACAAACTTACATTGCCTTTTTGATTACGATGGAAATAAAATGAACTTGAGTTGTTACCGTTTAATAATACTTTTTCAGGATCCACTATTGAAACTTTAGCGGAGATCAGCCAAAAGGTTTTCACCCTGTTTAACTTCTTTCCAACAGAGAAAGGGAGGGGAAGAGAAAAAAATCTGTACTGACAGAATGAAAGAAAAATAGAGAGGGAGTGAGAGAGTTGTCCAACACAAACAGAGCTGTGGTATGGAGGCCCCAGTCAAAACACACACACACACAGCAACACACTCCCTTAGCGTCCCTCTAACAGCACAATCTTTCCTTCTTTCCTTTATTGGACTTCTTTCTTCATATGTTCTCATTCTCTGTGACTATGTTTCGACCTAGTAACATTGGAGTTGTGACTTTTAGCTGAAATGACTTTCAGTTGGTTGAGATATTTGACTGAGGTGTTATTTGACTAGAATAATGTAAAGGGGCAAATTCTTCTTTGCTGGTTATTATAACTGTAAGAGCTGATCACACTGTCTTTTATATACTGCCACTAGCAGGACATTTGTTTGCTTGTCTCCTGTCTTCTTTTAATTGTTCAATTGTCAGCTGTCAACTAAGTTCCCAAAAATAGTATTAAAGGGGCCCTATTATGCTCATTTTCAGGTTCAAATGTGTTTAGTGCCTCCACTGAGACATGTTTCATGCTTTAATGTTCAAAAAGGAGAAACTCCCTCTGAAGGGAACTCTGGGATTTTAGCCTCTGCAGACCATTAACATGCACAGAAAGAGGAAACACCAAATATCATGATAGGGCCTCTTTAAAACAGAACGTTTCTACACTTTATGTTTTATTCACCCTCTTATTATTTAACCAGTCTGCAACACACATTGTAAAAAAACCATGCCTCTGCCTTCTTAGAAACGTGCTAGTCTAGCGTTATGTTCTACCTGAAGGTAATATGCTCAGTTGTAACAATGTGGTGTAGAGGTTGAAATCCAAACCAAACTTAAGGGGAAATGCTTTACGCTGTTGAAATAATGCGGTATGCTCAGCCAGCAGCTTATTCCTATGACAGCAGCACATTCATTCTCCCTCTTATTACTTGATTCTGAGAAAAGCTTTATTTTATGTAACCATGGCACTCATTGTTCAGCCAAGATGTGTTCAAGTACGTTAGGAAGATCTGATATTCTTGGACAGAAGCTGCTCATAGAGTCACGTAAGAGACCTGTGCACATGCAGCTCAGGCAATACATACGTTTCTCATAGCTTTCAAATTATACTCATTTGCCATTTTTCCAATTAATTTGCACAAACACGTTCACACACACCAACATCTGAACAGAGCTTTGAAATCTGGAGATGTTTAAATTTGCTCTTTCTTTTTTTCCTTTAACCACTGCTGGCAGCCTTCTCTGCTTTAACAGCACACGCACTCACGCACGCACGCACGCACGCACGCACGCACGCACGCACGCACGCACGCACGCACGCACGCACACACACACACACACACACACACACACACACACACACACACACACACACACACACACACACACACACACCCCACACACACACACAGGGCTAAAAGGATGATTGATGAAAGCCAGTTTCTAGTGTGTTGATATTCTAAATACAAAACTCCTTTGATCCGGTGCCTAACTGCCTTTGTGTGAGTGCATTTTCCTGTAAGTGATTCTAACGTGTGTTTTAGGGAAAGAAACACTCTCCTGAGCCAATCTGTGACTTGCTCCGACCGACACTTCTCTAGAAGTCATGTCTTTGTAGTAGTTTGGCCCCAAGAATCAAGAGGGGGCATACCTTTTCCAGTCAGCATGATATTATAAATGTGTTCATAATAAAAGTAATAAAAGAAGTTGACGTCCACATTGCAGGAATGTGGTGTAGATAATCTGGGTCCCAGGGCAAGGATTCTTTTCCTCCACTATAGTTTGACTTATACAGAATACATCTCAAGATGATCTGCCAAGAGCTCTTTTCACTTAAATGACCGTATTGCCCTTCTCTAGTCGGACACATTTGACCTCTTCTTAGCTACACTGCTGATGAGGAAAAATCCTCTGTTTGTTGTTCAAATTCTTTAGTTGTTTAATGGGCTATCATGAAAATTGCATTAAAGGAGTTAATGCTGGGGCTTCAAACCTTTATTTAATCCAGAACAAAGCCAACAATAGTGCTGAAAAAGCTGTCATATACCGTCTTGCATGGTGTCTGGTTTCATACAATGTTGCCGATATTCTTCTGTCTTAATTTCACGCAAAGGTCTTGGGTGACAGCTGCTTGTGTTTTGATAACTTTTGGTTAAGTTAATTTATGGTATAATTAGGGTATTGACAAGAGCATCATTTTTGTCTCACAACTTTATAGTTGTTTTATACCCAGCGCGAGGTGGGTTGGGTGCTGAAGCTAATCTTGTGTTTAGGCTGCACCATTTGGGTATTGGTTTAGTCATGATATTATTGCGTTGTCGTACAGCTAACCTTAGTGCCAAAGGGTGTTTGTGTTAAGCTTAAGCTGGTTACTGCATCTGGTCTTCCAAAACACATTGGTGGGCGAGCATGTGCATCTGTGGGTTTGAGGAATAGGGTTAGGCCCTCTGTCGACTGAAAACAATTCATGATCGATCAAGTAATAATACAATTACTGTCCAATTCAAATTGATGGCATATGTTGAGTGTGTAAAAGTACAATTAATGGAACAAATTGCATGTAAATACAAATAATGGGTAATAACATTGGTGAAGCAAGCAAGAGTGAGTTTTTTAAATGTTCTAACAAAAAAACCCAGCCCAATGTGGCCATTTCTAGCTACAGTAGCAGCACCAGCTCCAGAAGTTGCTAAATCAGTTGGCAACTGATGATGCAATTGAACGTAAAAGATGAACTTGGCTAATGGAACTGAATGAAGCAAGTAGACGTACTTACCATCCTGAATAAATAACACAGATATATGTGTTTTTTTGTCCAAGCATTTGATTTATTGAACACATAATATAAAAACGTATACCAGACTTCCTTTCTATGGCAGACAAGTAGCATTTCTAAACACAAAACACTAACCTTCCTCTGGTTCTTTTTGTTCCTGCAGTGAGACTGTGGTGGAGGGCACCCTGACCCACCCTTTTGCCCTGACACTGTCTGAGGAGACCTTATACTGGACCGACTGGCAGACCCGCTCCATCCACGCCTGCAACAAAAACAGTGGAGATAAAACTAGAGAGATCCTCAGTGGGATCTACTCTCCGATGGACATCCAGGTCCTGGAGGCCTACCGGCAGCCTAACAGTAAGTGAATTGTGATCAATAAGATCAATATACCATCAGGCCTTTATATGAAAGTGGTATCATTGTTCTGTGGTGATTGATACATAATGAGACATTAGCTACATGAGCTAATCCTATGTTCTCCTTCACTTGTCCCTCTCTGTCTCTGATGTGTGACTGCAGTCCTGACTCCCTGCAGTGACAGTAATGGAGGCTGTAGTCATCTCTGCCTGCTCTCTCCAGTGCAGCCTTTCTACAGCTGTGCCTGCCCCACTGGAGTCCAGCTTAAACCAGATGGGAAGACATGCAAACCAGGTAGGGGTCTTCTTTCATCAGCCACTGGTAGCCCTTGTGAGAGGGCACTGCTAACAGTTTCTTATTGTCATTATTCATTTGTTTGTACGGATATTAAGGCTATGATTATTTGTCAATGAAGTTATAACTTACAAATGTTGAAAACAAAGGCTCAAAAGGATTTGATAAGTATGTGAGATATACAAAATACAAATAAACAAATGTGTGCAACACAACGTGTGTCGCATTCTGACAACCCGTAACAGCTGCCTAGCACTTCTGCTTTATGGCATACGGTGTGTTTTGGTTTTTATAACAGGTGTCAGGTGTAATTAATAAATACACAACGACACTAACAGAAGATCCATCATAGAGAAAAATACCCCATCTATAGATATGCTGCTAGAAATGATAGCAACAAGTACCTACTGATTCAAAGCATTTCTTGTGAACAATTAATATGGCAAAAGTAGTCCCGGTTTATGTTCCGCAACATTGAGTTTTATATAATGTGTGATCCTATTCTTCCATTAAATAATAAATAATACAAGTATTATTCCGTTTTATGGCTCTAAATCTTGTTATTGATTAGTCAGAATGGCTACAGTAACTCGGCTAACATCATCCATGTAATACGAGAAAAACTTCACATTATACAATCCTTTATTTACATGTTAACTTAAACTGAACATCTATGGGGAAACATGCATTAGGGGACATTACTGGTGTGACAATTATACAGAGGTTACCACTTTAAGGGTGCCATTAGGAAACGCTGATGGAGCAAGAGCAGCACTGCTATCCCTCAAGCAGTCAGAAAAATGTGCTGAACTATAGTAGCATACTGTGAGCCGCCACTCTGCAGAACAGTATAAAGTTGTCTTGCAATTCAATCTAGTTGTTGGTAAAGCAGACTGGTTCTTAACTGAAAACTAGCCCCGGAACGGACTAGAATAGCCGCTTTCACACCAAGTACTTTGCCGTACTTAGTGCCGGCACTTAGTACCCCCATGGAACTTAGTACAGATCGCGTTCACACCGGAATAAGTTCCCAGAGGGAAGATTACGCAAATGAAGCCGCTGACGTCAATTCTTCTTCTTCTGCTTTGGGTTTACTGGCAGGCCGCAAACAACTTCACGGCGTATACTGCCGCCCGAAGTCCCCGGCCGGAAGTCCCCGGAGTTGGGGACTGACTTCAGTAGAAGCTGCTGGGACTCCCAGCAGCTTCTACTGAAGCCTTCCGAGTAAATCGCCAGAACGCCGACACCTCCTCATCTCCACCGCTCCCATGTTTTATTTTGTGTTTGTGTTTGTGTTTTATAAGTTAGTCTCTCTGCGTTTGTGCGCGGGGCTAATGCTAATAATGCTAATGCCAGCAAATACAATGGCAGAGTTTTACGGGCCGTGGTTTGCAATTCGCCCAGCCAATCAGAAATTGGTACTTTTTTCTCCCCGGGATAGTACCACCTCTCTAGCAGGCACTAAACATGGGGGTAAAAGTTCTCGGAACTAAGTACTCTTTTTGGTGTGAACGCAAAATTCCAGGCACTAATGGAACTAAACAGGAAAAGTACGGGGAAAAGTACTCCGGTGTGAAAGTGCCTAATTAATGGAACTGATTTCAGTGGATAGAGGTATTACAAATGTTAAACAACTAAAGCTCAAAAGGATTGATAAGGGGGTGAGATGGTTAGAATTGATACATTCTATTTAAACCCAGCCATATCCGTTTTTGTCTTTGGTGAGTCATGTAGTGATACAGCATGGAGTGTATCAGCTTGAGAACAAGTAAGAGTGACCTCTTTGCTAGCAGAGTGGGACACTAACTGACCAGCCGCCATGTTGATTCCCACGATTCTAAAACAATAGAGCCTTATTCTGCGAAAACACAACAGTGTGTTCGAGTGCGTCTGTCTGCTAGGCTGTGTTATGTGAATGTATTACATTTGAATGAAACATGCCAGCCAATCACTTAGCCACCGTTGACAATAAAAAACAACAATGCTCTATTGTGTCAGCAGCTTGTGTGTGTCAGAGTGTGTGTGTGTGAGTCTTTGTGTCCGTGCTCCTAATTTGTTTTGCTTGGCTGGTTAAATTGAAGGCGTTTGTTATTACGCTGGCAGCAGAGCGTGAGCGTTTGTGTGTGTGCGTGTGACTGTTTGTCAGGGGTCCCTAAGTGTCTCAGAATGAAGTGAAGCGAAGAGGAGAGGGGAATCACAGATGCTTTCCCTCCTTCCTTTTCATTCTTTCCCTTCATTTATCCCCCCTGGCCTCTGTCATTTATGTAAGGATGGAACAACTTTCTGTGTCAAATCTGATTGGTGCCAAGGCTGAGAGATGCCAGAATTGGATTGGTTGGGAAAGAGCAGCTGGAAAAGAGAGGGAGAACATTTACAGGATTTGGAGAACTATGTGTTGTTGATATCTGAGCTATCTGACATTAGTGTAGATATTTAGATTATGTACTATAGCGTTAGGTTAGGGTTATAATGTTCTGTAGCGGAGACTTTTAAAGTGTCCCAATTATGCTTTTTGGGTTGCAATTTTTGCTGAAACGCCTCCAGTGGACTCCTATGTTTACTTCTCTAACATTATGACATCACTATGTAGCACTTGAGCTTTGATTGGCTAGCGCTTGCTTCAACACATTGTACGTGATAGGTCTGATTGTGTGGTTTCAGACAGAGGGTGAAAGAGGTGCTGCAGCACAGGCAGAATGAGAAAATGAAGAGCTTTTTGAACATTAAAGCATGGAGACATGTCACAGTAGAGACACTACATACAAATATGAACCTGAAAGTCAGCATAATAGGGCCCCTTTAACTACAGATATTTTACATTTTGAATAGATCTACTTGAACTGTCAGTATTATTACTTTACAGTCGAATCTTTGGCTTAAGGTGTACTGATCAGAAACGTGGGCCAAAGACAGGAAAGAAGGCAGTTCAGGGAATAGAAAGCGAGAGACACACTTTAAACTGCTTTCAATGCGAGCTCTGCAGAGTCAGAGGTGTGAGAGAAAAAGACAAACTTTAATTGTCTCCCGTGAGGTTAGTTTGGCTCTTGTTTATATCTGGACCAACAGCCAGAACACAGTGCAGGCTCCCTCAGGACAGCAGAGCCCTTTGTTTCCAGGCCGGAAGGAGCAAAGAAGAGAGAAGCGAAAATACTAAATCTATGTTTCTCACCACAGATAGAGACATCTTTTTTTTCTCTTTGACTTTATTTGTCTGTAGGAAATCATTATTGGGGTATATCGCTCTATTTTCTTTAGCTAGGATGTGGAGAAACTAAGTATATTCAGGTAAGTCTTGTACTGTACTGTACCATGCTCTGCTTGAAGTTAATGTTTTCATAAACCTATATACTTCTATTTCACTATATATTACCAGGAAGCACTTTAGACTCCAGTACATTTATGTCACCGCTGCAGTTACTACTTAGCTTTAATATTAATCTCTTATTACAACACATGATAAGCTCATAAAATACATATTCTTGTTAAAGAATGTCAAAACATGTCAGATGTCTATGAGTTGTGGGCTGTTCCACCAAAGTGGTCGTATTATGCTAAATGTCACAAATAAAGCAGAGATGAGGGAATGAAACCAGATTCTGAATGAAACCACTCCCATTGCTCCCTGGGCGTTGTACAATAGCTGCCCATTGCTCCTGGGTAGGATGGGTTCAAAGCAGAGAACACATGTCACTGTGTGTGCTCTGCATGTGTGACCATTAAAGAGGGTTTCATCCCTCCCTATTCTTCTTAATAGCTCTGAAATATTGTACAATATCCCAATGGAAGTAATAATGTCTGCTGTTAGTGGAGTTCATAATGATACCGCAAAACGTTCTACTTTCCTCACATTCAGATATCTGTATATAATGTAGTGAAAACTAGCTAGGCTGCTCTAACTGTAGCACGTCAGAATTGGCATCTAATAATGTGGTGCGTCTTTGACTGCTCATTACTTTATTCTACTTTTACTTGAAGGGAAGTGAGTTAACATGTGTATTGATACTTGAACTTTAAACACAATTTAGACATGTAAAGTATGGTGTCGTTTAATCGTGGGTGTGTTTGTTGTTGTTGTTGTTAAAAGACCTTTTCTTAGACTCGTTCATTTTGGTTTCTAAGCCCACGATACAACTGCATATTTCCATAAAAGCGCTACACTTAGACCTCCTGATTGAGAGCTGGGAAGCAGTCCATTCAGTCAGTCTGTGTGTAGTACTAATGTTAGCTCCAAAACCTAAGTGCACGGCTGTCAACAACATCATTAGGGGTCATTAGTCTGATATTAAGACCTTATTAGACATGACTTACGGTACCAGCAATTTGTCATTCAAACCATGAGAAACACAAGTACATTTCCTTAATTAAAAATAGGAGGGACCTTATAAAATGATTTGTTTTGTTTTAATTCTAAAATTCAAAAATGTAACTAAATATGTTTGGAAATATCCCATATCAAGCCTGGGGCCCATTTCCACGTGTCATCCTTTCTGTCTCACCTTTTCAGTTCGGTCTCTATAATGAAGGCGCTGGAGACCCAGCCAAATCATCTTTAAAAAAACAAAAAAGAAATGTGTTTTTTAATGGCTCAAATTGTACACTGTGCGAGTGTTCATATCAGTCAATCCAACTGCCTCAGAGCTGAATTTACTTCAGCACAAACCCTCCTGTGACCAATTTTGACTGCAAATAAGTGCAGCTTAGAATCAATATGAACTGACTGTTAACAACGAATCAAACGTGTCTGTTGTTCAGGAGCAGAGCAGGTTCTGCTGCTGGCTCGAAGGACGGACCTCCGGAGGATCTCACTGGACCTGCCCGACTTCACTGACATAGTGCTACAGGTAAGCCCACACACAACCGCACATACGCACACACTCTCTTTCAGGTATTTATCATTGTTCCTCTGCTCATGCAGGTCGATGACATTCGCCATGCCATAGCTATAGACTATGACCCAGTTGAGGGTTACGTCTATTGGACGGATGATGAGGTTCGGGCCATCCGCCGATCCAACATTGACGGCAGCAATGCCATGATGCTGGTTACCACGGAGATCAACCACCCAGATGGCATTGCTGTTGACTGGGTGGCCAGAAACCTGTACTGGACTGACACCGGCACTGACCGGATCGAGGTACATCTTTACACAACAACAGTTCCACCAGTTATATTAATCTTAAAACCAGTGTTTAAGCAACATATCAATATCTACAATACAGCTGTTCGACCACATTATTCCTGTGTATGTATATGCATAGGTCTCCATTCAGGACTAACGGGTTTAATGTGGCATTTCAGGTAACCAGGCTGAATGGAACGTCTCGGAAAATTCTGATTTCTGAGAATCTGGATGAACCCAGAGCCATCGTCCTGGACCCCGTCAATGGGTAGGGTTAGCCTCTGTTTATGCATGGGGTATATATTCTGGGGAGAGTGGACATTAAGATAAAAAAATATATATCGAAAAACCTCTTACAAATACTTACTACTTTTAGGCCAACAAACAAAAGCTAGTGTCGACAATTATTTGCAACATTTAGATGCCCATGTTGGGAATTAAAATACAAACCACAGTCTATAGAGGAAAATGTGTAAATTGTACAAGAAGTCATTGCATTTTGTCTCATTGCCTCGGTCTCTTTCAGCTTTATGTACTGGACGGACTGGGGAGAACATCCTAAGATCGAGCGGGCCCACCTGGATGGAACGGAGCGGCTGGTTCTGCTTAACAGCTCTCTGGGCTGGCCCAATGGACTGGCTATAGATCACGCTGCAGGAAAGCTCTACTGGGGAGATGCAAAAACTGACAAGATAGAGGTATGTCTTCAAAACATCTATGCATGTTAGCTGAAAGACAGGGCAGAGAGGAAATGATCAAGAAAAGATGAGGTGGAATGAGGATACATTAGATGTGTTATGCAATAGCTGGACAGCCTCATGAAGCCTTGTGTAAGGTAGTTGTCGTCAGCTCCCATGTGGTCCGGTTCGTCTCCTTTGTTTGATTGTTTGTTTAATTAGATCCCCATTAGCTACTGTGCTGCAACAGTGGCTATGCTTCCCGGGGGTCCCATTCAAAACTTTAACAGAAATACATCAATTAACATCCATAACATTCATACTCACAATAAGACTCAACCACCAAGACACACAGCAGACAACACCAATTCAAAGCCTTTCTGATACATCCTCTGACAGAGTGTCAAATGACTGTGTATTTGTTCTAATGAGACACAGGAGAGAAGGTCATTGAGGGGCTACAATCAAAAACATGTTTTTCTTCATCCAATATTAACACGTGACTCTTTTGACTGACAAAAGATCCCTTAAGTGAAACATATCTGATCATGAATGATTGAAAGATGACCTAAAACATGTTATGTCAGACAATGTCAAAATAGTGGCTGTGTGTTTGAGACGTAGCTGTGACACGTCAAGAAATGACTCCATGCTGACAGCTGTCATCTTGTCATTTATTCCATTGAGCAGGAGTGATTCAGACTGATGCATTGTGTTGAATGTAGTGTGTATTGGAGCTTTGAACCTACAGTACTACCCTCCAGTGGGACTGACCATGCAGTCTGTTACACACACTTTTATACCTCTGACTGTGTGGACATTTGATTTGATTTACATAACAGAATGAACGAAGGCATTCAAAAGTAATGCGTGTCTTGCAGGTAAATCCTAAGACTAATGCAGGCTGATATAGGAGCATATTCAGTTTTAGATTGTTTTAAATATTTGTAGGTACATCTTGTCATCTTATTTGTTTGTGCCCTAAAATTGAAACTATTTGGTGTTCCGTAATTTTCAAAGCCAAATTATGAAAGATATTTTAGCATGGTTTGAAAAATGAATGTTCATTTTGCCATTGGAGAGATTATCATATGTCTTAAGAGGAACTCTCCTGTCAGGAACTAGTCCCCAATAGCACTCAGGGTTTCCCCTACCATTGTCTTGGAGGGGTGCTGCGCCCCGCCAACGCCCCCTGAAATTCAAGGTGTTTTTGTTTTGTTTTTATCATTTTTTTTGTTTTTTTTAATAATACATATTTATAGCACCAAATTGCAACCAATCTATATCTACTGTCACTTTACACATTGAACATGACAAAAATATCCCAACAACACCCCCCCAGGGACAGACAGCACCCCCCCAAAGCAGTAAACCTAGGGGAAACACTGGCACTATATATGAAAGAGGAATGGTTGTAACTATGGGGGAGACATAACAGAACGCTGCCTCTGTTTGTGTGTTGTTGTATTTGTTGCTATGTTTTGTCAAAGGTCTTTTTATTGAATATTTTCTAAAGTAAAAAATATTCCACCTAAAGAATATTTGTAGGTTAGGTGTATAAAATGCTACTTGGTCAGCTTGACAACCAGTGCTGAGAAAACACCAGTCGCTTTATATAGCGACTAATATCTAAGCACTATCTCCTTTTTCCCAACAATTTATTAGTGTACTCTGTTGAGAAAGCAGTAAGAGTGTGGAGTTCAGCCCAGTCGGAGAGGTAGAGGACTGGGGGGGGGGGGGGGTTGTTCTCGCTGCCCTTCCCCCTCTCCCCAAGGCTTCCAGAGCTCTTTCAAAGCAGGTGCTCTCCATTCTCTCTATCAATATCACACACTGTCTATGTTTTAGACATTACAACAACTAAAGAGACCTCTTCGGCTCTCTCTTTACTTTGAGTGTAATCAGCTTCTTACTACTCAGTTTAGTTGTTCAAACTATTTCACACTCCTGTCTCAGATGTTGTGTGGTTATCGTTTCTCTGTGATGTGGTGGCTGTTTCTACGGAATTGAACAAGTTTACTAGTTCTATTTTCATAGCTGCAGAGAGAAGGAGAGAGAACACTAGAACAAAATAGTGAATGCCTGAGCTTTCTGGCTGAATGCTTACCAATTGGAAAGGGGTGGGTGCTCCCTCTGCCCCCCCTCTCTCTTTTTCTCTCTCTCTGTCAGCGTGAAAGGACCCACCTCAAAGGGTTTTTTACACGTTTCATCCTTGTTTTTATGCCGGTGAAAATAAATTAGTGCTGGGTGTGAAGAAATGTCTGTTGTATGTGTGCCTGCGTCTCTCTCATGTCCGTGTGGAGTGTGATTTGGTTCACAGTTTCTTGTTCCACGAGGCTACTGTACGATTTTAATACATTTCCCTTTTGCTGAAGGTACACCTCGATGACTAAACTATGGATTTACTGCAGATGAGCAACTTACCGTGTCTTATTTTTGCTTTAGTTGTCCATTATCCCTTTCAGTATTGGTGGTATTAGAGTGTTACGCTTGCCTAACCAATTGCTCAAAATGTTGTAACACAAGGATAATGACCTTCTTACTGGCTAAATAAAAAATGTATGACAAAGCTCAGCAACACTCAGGTGTGTTTGCATTTATATTCTCTATTTTGACTTTTGTCTCACTTGAGTATGTTCCATCTCTAAAGTGTGTCCATCTTTCCCAGAAGTGAGTTTGCATTAAAGAGCTTAATCACAGTAGATAATAACAGCTAAAAGAATACAATGTCACACAGACAACCGAAGTGTCTGTGTGACCACATATACCACACAACAACAAATCATTGATTCATTGGTTTGAATATAGTATTCAAAAATACAAATTCAATATGATTTTATTATTGATGGCAAAATAATAGAACAAGACATAATAAAATCAACAATAAAATAATAAATAAAGAAAGGAAACATGACTGTAAAAAGAGTGTATATGTGGGTATGTCCTTATGTTAGAAGGAGATATTGATTTATATATACTTGGATTTATCTCTAAGCAATACATGTTAAAGGTCACTATCTTTGGAACTAAAGCAACAAATAAGATCATAGAAATCTGTAACTTTATTTATATTAGTTTCTAATTATGAGACACTACTCACAACTTGTCTTTGTCTTAAGTTACATTTAGTTGATACCTTCTGATGAATTGATATATCTTAGAACATCATACAACATATGGTATTAGTGGCGTGTGTGTGTGTGTGTGTGTGTGTGTGTGTGTGTGTGTGTGTGTGTGTGTGTGTGTGTGTGTGTGTGTGTGTGTGTGTGTGTGTGTGTGTGTGTGTGTGTGTGTGTGTGTGTGTGTGTGTGTGTGTGTGTGTGTGTGTGTGTGTGAAGGGAGCCAGCTGAAAACTAGACAGCGCCCAGCATTTTACCTTTTGAGAGAAAGAAGAGAGGGAATGATAAATGACCGAGGCAGACCGAAGACTTTCTCCAAGAACCCTGGAGGAATGCTCTCTCCCTCTGTCTCTTTCTCCGTGTGTTTTCAAGTCTCTTTTAAAGAAATCTGACTCCCCCCTCTGCAAACTCCCACCCCTCCCCCTCCACTGTGGAAAAAAAACAAACCTCTGAAGTTACCGCACCCCCTGCCCCCCACCCCTCCTTCAAATAGAAGTGTGTGTGTGTGTGTGTGTGTGTGTGTGTGTGTGTGTGTGTGTGTGTGTGTGTGTGTGTGTGTGTGCGTGCATGAATGTGTTGGCGGCTTTGACTGATGTGTTGCTTTCTCTGTACTCACACAAAACGGCTGCTTTGTTGTGATTATGCAGATTGACCGTGTGTAGTGCAGTTCAATCACACTGCTCAGCCATATGGTAACTGCGTGTGTGTGTGTGTGTGTGTGTGTGTGTGTGTGTGTGTATGTGTGTGTGTGTGTGTGTGTGTGTGTGTGTGTGTGTGTCTGAGGTGGAGAGAAGGAGGTGTGTGTGTGTGTGTGTGTGTGTGTGTGTGTGTGTGTGTGTGTGTGTGTGTGTGTGTGTGTGTGTGTGTGTGTGTGTGTGTGTGTGTGTGTGTGTGTGTGTGTGTGTCTGAGGTGGAGAGAAGGAGGTGTGTGTGTGTGTGTGTGTGTGTGTGTGTGTGTCTGAGGTGGAGAGAAGCACCTTGTTTCAATAGCAACTCTTCTTGCCTGTGTCTTGTTTCTGTAGCCGTCCAACTTAACAACAACAACAACAATTGCAACATGTGTTTCTGTCCTGGTGGAATGTTATTAGATACAAGTACTGAGTTTAAGTATCATTTTGATGCATATGATTATTTAAAAATTTTTGCACAATTTGAAAATACACAAAAATAACAGATACAAAATTATATACAGTGCAGGAAGAGGCAGAAAACATCCACCTAAATAATGTTAAAATTCCCAATGTTAGAGAACACGATTATTATTCTACCAAAATAAACTCAAAAGTGTAAAACAACAACAACAGTTAAGATAAGATATGATTTTGACTGTGTTTGTCATCTGGGAAAAGCCATCCCATATTTAGTTTTTTCTAAATCTGACATAAAATGTAAATGAAACAAACCATAACCCAACCCACTGCAAACATAGGAAAGAGCCTGATAAATAAACATAATCTTATACAGAATAACTACTAGCAGTTTATATAACTACATTAGCGGTTAAAAACGTCAGTTTCTTACTGACTCAGAACTGTTAACTGACAGGTGCCTGAAAGCAGAGATGAGTCAGGAACAGCATCCATAGGTTTCACTGGAACTTATGGATTGGTTCGATAAAACATGAAGCTTCAAAAGAGGGTCCACGAAGTTGCAGTTGAAAATGTTGGAAAATAACTCAAAACCACAACTGAAAAGTACGACGCAGTGAGGGCTGAAATGGAGGCTACGAGGTACAAATATGAAACCATGCAACGAGAGAACAAGGAGCACGTAAAAACCTCAGAGAGGGAAAATATCTGCCAGAGCAGCCGAGGGCCTCAGAGATGGAGCTTCGAGATGAGGTGGACATGCTCCAAGTTTTTCTACAGGTGAATAATTCAAGTCAAAGAAAATGAGTATGGAACA